GGCTGCCTTGCTCCAGCCTTCGCCCCCCGCGGCACAGCCACCTTCCCGGACACCCGGTCAGGGAGGAGACCCTCCTGCTTCTTCCCCCTCTCCCCCTCCCTCCCTCCCTCCCTCCATCCCTTCCTCCCCCTTTCCTCCCTTCCTTTCAGCATCTTTGTGGAGACGTCATTTACCTGTCCTCTATTTCACTCACTTAAAGTGTACAGTTCAGTGTTTTTAGTCTGTGGAGTAGGACGATCATCACCATAGTCAATTTTAGAGCATTTGCCTCACCAGCCGTGACTCCCCAGTCCCCCCTCCCCAGCCCCTGCCTGCCACTCATCTGCTTTCTGTTTCTGTAGACTTGCTTATTCTGGACATGTGCTTATTCATGCGTGTGGGATCATATGAATGTGGTCTTCGTGACTGGTTCCTTTCGCTGCGCGTGATGTTTCCAGGCTTCATCCACGTGGGAGCGGCTGTCAGCCCTTCATTCCTTGTTGGAAGCTGACGGTATATTCCGGCGTGTGCCTGGTCACCCACCGATGGGCCTCGGGACTGTTTGCACACTTTGGCTCTTCGGAGTTGAAGCCGTTGCATCCTCTTCCCGGCCCCAGAGTCCCCTCCACCCCCAGCCCTCCGCTCCCATCCTATTCTCCGTTTGTTTTCATCACCATCATGAGCTGGGAGTTTTGACCACCATGTATGTATCCGACACGGTAGATAGTTTCATTTTCTCGTTTTAAAAACTTTTTATAGATGACATCATACTGTGCATATTCAAGTTACTCTTCAGTGGTAGGCTCGTAAGTTCACCGATCTTGGTTCTTGTAGTTCCTTCGTTTTCATTGTGGTTAGTATTCCATTATAGGTGTATGTTCCTCATTTGTTCCTTTATTTGTTACTCAGTTGATAATGGACAAAGGGATAATGTGAATTCATTCTTCAGTTGATGATGGATAAAAGTTTTTCTTAAATTTTTTTTTTCTTTTTAGTGTTAGCGACATCGCTGAACCTGCCTCCTGCGTCCTTACACAAGGGGTTTTCATGGCGTGTGCCTAGAAGTGGCATTATGTCGTGTGTATCTGCTTTTTGTGAGGAATCACTGGGGTCCTCTTTAAAGCAATGAGTTACTGTGGTGTTTTTAAGCAGTACAATTCATTAAAAAGTTTATTGGTGAACATATTTTTTAAAGAATGATTTCATGATGTGCTACTTATTCTTTTAAAATGGCTTTAGCTGAAGCCTGTTTTTCTTTTTGGCTATGCAAGACCAGATAAAAATGCAATTTTAATAAGATAAAACGAGATGCCTTTTAGTCTGAGCTTGAACTTTGCTGGAACATTTTCTGCTCAATAAACACAAGTGGTGTGCCCATGAAGAATTAATGCATTGGCGCTTTCCTGGGAGGCAAGGGGCCTGCAGCGTGTGGTAACACTGCAAGACCCATGGAAATGCCTTGCACATAGAGGGCAGAGGCCCACTGCCTGCTGGTTTTGAGCCCTATTCGTGTACTGAGACATAAGGGAAGGGTGCAAGCCAGCAAGGTAGGTGCATAGTACCGGTGAATGCTGTCTGTAGGTCACTTGGCGGTAGTCAAGCTGCTGCCATTTATGGCTGTCTCATTTCTTACACGTTCTTATTCCCATTTCCGAGACGAGGAAGCTAAAGCCTAGAGCAATTACCCAGGCCCTTTGGTTCTTAAAACAGGAAAACTTCTACCAAGGTCGGGGAAGCCTCCAAGAGATTTCTGGAAAGGGACCACGACAGAGGGGTTGTGCATGACCTCCGTGGGCTGATACTCTTTCTTTCCAACAACAACAACAAACCCCCAAACCCTCCTGCATTCTGAGTGTCAGACTGGTCTCTTTTCCATGGTGTCACTGGGAAGTTTCAGAGGCTGGGAGGGAAATCAGAAGAAGGCTGGTGACTCACGCCTGTCGAGGTTGATGCCGGCCATCATCAGCTGGGACACCCCCTGGAAGCTGTGGTTCTAGTGCTTACATGTGGGCTTCTTCAAAGCCTGGTGGCTGGGTTCCAAGAGAGAACCCAAGAGAACCAGGTGGAAACTGTGCTGCCTTTAAAAACTTACATCTTCATTGAGACTCACATATAATAATAGTTCACCCATTAAAATTCACGTACAACACCATTCCCTCATTTAAGGGGTGAAAGTCAGTGGTACTGCGGTGTATCCGTCGCCACAGTCAACGTTAGAATATGTTTGTCCCCTCAGGAAGAAGCCCTGTAGTCTTCTGCTGTCACCCCAGTCTCCCATCCTCCACCCCAGGCAACCACTAGTCTCCCTTCTGTCTCCCTTCTAGACATTTCATGTCAGTGAGATCATAGAATAGGGTTTTTTTTTTTTAAGATTTTTATTTATTTGACAGAGAGGGAGTGTTAGTGAGAGCAGGAACAAGCAGGGGGAGTGGGAGAGGGAGAAGCAGGCCTCCCTCGGAGCAGGGAGCCCGACGTGGGGCTCGATCCCAGGACCCCGGGATCAGGACCTGAGCCGAAGGCAGACGCCCAACGGCTGAGCCACCCCGGCGCCCCAGAATAGGTGTTTTTTCATGACTGGCTTCCCACGCGTAGCGTGATGGTTTCAAGGTTCTTCCGTGTTACAGCGTGAGCTAGCACTTTATTTTTTAGCTGATGACTATTTCACTGAATAATATTCCAGTTTACCATGTTTTTGTTGTCCAAGAACATTATAAACGCCAATTCATTTTTTTTTATTTTTGTAGGTAAACTTAAAGGTTCGTGCGAGTTTGGAGTCCAGTGTGCTTGTCTTTGCCTGCCTCGTACTCCTCACAACCCCGTCGCAACGTGGGGGCTATCGAATGTCCGTTAAATTTTGCTGAAACATTTTAGGATATAAAAGGGAACATTTTCTGTAATTAAAATGTTGTGTCACAGGCACAGACATGGAGGAATGAATGGAAAACTGAAAAAATGCCCCAGCATAGAGTAATCTCCGGCGTATTGAAGACAGTGTCCGCAAACCAGTAGGGAATAGGATAGGTTTTTAACCAATGTCATTGGAGCAGTGGATTATTTTTTAAAAAAGTTTTCTACAGGCGCCTGGGTGGCTCAATCTTTAAGCGTCTGCCTTCGGCTCAGGTCGTGGTCCCAGGGTCCTGGGATCGAGCCCCACATCGGGCTCCCTGCTCGGCGGGGAGCCTCCTTCTCCCACTCCCACTCCCACTGCTTGTGTTCCTGCTATCGCTATCTCTCTCTCTGTCAAAAGAAAAAAAAAAGTTTTCTACAGTCTGTAGCAAAATAAAATAAATTCTAGGTGACTCAATACTCAAGGGTAAAAAATAAAACCACACAAGTGTGGAACTAGGACACAGTTGGAGATTTATGCCATCTCAGTAAGTCGGCTGGGCTGAATGTTCATGTGCTCCCAAAACTCACAGGAAGCCCTACCCACCAGACTGAGGGTGTTAGGAGGTGGGGGTTTTGAGGGGGTGAGGAGGTCCTGAGGCTGGAGTCCCCCAGGGTGGGATTGGAGCCTTTATAAAAGAGACCCCAGAGAGCTTCCCTGCCTCTCCGCTGGGTGGGGACGCAGCAGAAGGCACCAGCTGAGGCCCTCACCAGATACCAAATCTGCCAGCAGCTTGATCTTGGACGTCCAGCCTCCAGAACTGTGGGGAATAAATGTCTTTGTTTATAAGCTGCCACATGCGTGGTATTTTTGTTATAGCAGCCGGGATGGACTAAGACAGTTGGGGGTGGGCCTTTTTAAGTAGAGTCCTCAAAGGAGAGCCCCGTGTAATGCATAAAAGTGAGGTTGACTTAACCACAGAGACCTTTAAGCTTCCATAAGCAAGAGGATGGCTTTGTCACCTGTCTTTCACCATTCTGTTCTCTTTTGGTTTTCTGCTGCTGCTGTAACAAATCAGCATAACCCTATTGGCTTATAATACACACTTGCTGTCTTATAGTTCTGGTGCTGGGCTAAGATGAAGGTGTTGGCAGGGCTGCAGTGCCCCCGAGACCCGTGCTCTTTCTCATCTTCCTGCCGTGCCCGCGTTCTCGGGTGGTTGATATCTCCTGCTCATTTCTCATGGTGGCATGAGGCTGGGGAACCTCTAGGCCTCACATGTGTGTTCCAGGCAGATGAGGAAGGGCCCACACTGCTGGTGACTGAGCTGCGCTGGGTCACAGGGCCTCCCCTGGCTGGACGCCCCCGCCGAGGAAGGGGTGCGGGTGCGGCCACTCAGTGGACCGCCCTGGTGTCTGCCACGGGGGCTGTTTTGTTTCCATCTGTTTTCCAAGTTTACTCTGATGAACAGAAGACTTTATTTTTAAATTTAATTTTTATCTTTTTTAAAAAGATTTTACTTATTAGAGAGGGAGAGAGAGAGAGAGAGAGGGCACGAGTGGGGGAGCAGCAGTGGGAGAGGGAGAAGCAGGCTTCCCGCGGAGCAGGGAGCCCGATGTGGGGCTCAATCCCAGGACCCTGGGATCATGACCTGACCTGAAGGCAGACGCTTAACTGACTGAGTGCCCTGGGTGCCCCCAGAAAACTTTTATAATAAAATCATTAAGTCTTTAAAAAACACATTTATCTTCTTTTTGTGATTCTGCATTCTGTCTTTCACGAAATGGCAGCAGATGGGAATTTCCAGACGGGCATTTCAGCATTAGTTCGTAGTCCTGCCGCTGGCACACGGTCCGGGAGCAGAGGCTGCTGGAACTGGGCGATGCTGAGTGGCTCCCAGCTCCCAGCAGCCTCGTGGGCAGCGGCGCCTGAGGCCCTGCCGATGCGGTCAGGGCTGCGGCTCCCCGGGCTGAGGCCCATTTGCCAGGCAGGCTGAATGCCCCGTTGTGTGTGTGGCGTGGACCTGTGTGGCGCCATTCATCCCTTCCAGACGGGCCCTCGGGACCCGTGGCAGCTGAGGGAGAGTTGCTGCTCAGGCGTGTAGGTTACTGGGAACTGGTCCTTTTCCCGAGTTAGTGTGGGCTCTTGAGGAAGCCGGAGAGAAGCTAATCGGTTTTCCTTTCTTTTTAAACAGCATCCAGCATGTGTACGGCGCCCAGCACCCCCCCTTCGACCCACTGTTACACGGCACGTAAATGAGGCCTGTGGTCATGCTGCATCACGCACGCGCCTGGGCGCCCTGGTGACCCGCCGGCCTCCTCGGGGTCCTGAGGGGAGCAGCGTGGTTTTCCCTCGAGCAGACACGCGTCAGGGCCTCGCACGACTGGTCCTCCGGACAAGGGCAGAGGAGGAAGCCCAGCCCAAAGTGGAGGAGAGCACGAAGCTGGCACCCCCTTAGCTGACGGGAGGGCCTGGCCCCGGGCCTGTTCTCGGTGGTCAGCTCACTTCCCTTGCCCTCCACTGCACGCTCTGCCCCTGTGTCTGGCTCCTCCACCAGAGCCACGCAGGGTGCTGGTGTGACCCCCCGCCCGTGCTGGCGGGTGTCACTGGGCCCCCCGCGGTGCCTCTTGCTCTAGTGGTGCTGTGTCGTGTCTGCACGCCGAAAGACAGCCGCTCCTGCCCCCGCCGCCCCCACTGCTGCCTTAGGAGGTTTGCGGGCACTGGCCCGGGTGAGGTTTGGGGACTCCCTGTGAATGCCGTGACTGCGGTGCTGGGGTTCCTCCTGAGTGGCTTCTGTCACTGAGCAGAGACTGCTCAGTGGTACTGCCCCTCGAGAGCCTCTCCTTCCTGCCCCCAAATCCTAGGAGTCCTCTTCTGTTTTTTTTTTTAGGATTATTTATTTGAGAAAGAGAGCGAGAGCACAAGAGTGGGGGGGTAGGGAGGGGGGCGAGGGAGAAGCAGACGCCCCACCGAGCAGGCAGTCCGATGTGGGGCTCGATCCCAGGACCCCGGGATCACAACCTGAGCCGAAGGCAGACATTTAACCGACTGAGCCCCCTGGGTGCCCCAGGAGTCCTCTCTCGGATGCCTCTTTGGGTTGTGCTTGCTCTTCACCCTCAGCTCAGTTGACCCTGGAAGCTTGAATGTGCACCTTTCATCCATGGGCTCCTTTCTGACCGGTCGTGGGGTGAGTCTGCTCCAGCCTCCGAGGGGAGAGCTGAAGTCTGCCTTTGCTTTGCAGCTTGCTCAAGGGCGCACCCAAGGCGCCCGCCACACCCGTGAAGGCCAAGAGCATCAGCACCTTCCCGGAGTTTGAGAGCAACACCAGCGACGCCTGGGATGCCGGCGAGGACGATGACGGGCTCCTGGCCGTGGCAGCCGAGAGCCTGAACACCGACGTGGTCATGGAGACGGCCCACCGCGTCCTGCGCAACCACAGCCAGCGGCAGGAGCGCCGCAAGCCGCAGGAGGCGCCGGGCCCCGAGCAGGAGCCACAGCCTTCGGCAGAGCCTCCTTCGGTCCCGAGCGGTGACCTCGGCTGGTGAAGTCCGTCAGCGAGAGCCACACATCCTGTCCTGCAGGTGGGCGGGGGCGCGAGGAGATGACGCGCAGTGCTGCGAGGGAGAGGGGCTGGAAGCCTCTCGGTGCGGGAGGTTAGCGGGCGTTCCGTCCTCTTTGCCACAGGAGCTCGTGCCCTTGGAAGACCTTGGGGTTGTGATCCACGTGCCCACAGGCCTTCCCAGGCAGGAGAAGCCGTAGACTTTTCTTTGTGTCCCCAGCTGAGTGCTTCTCTCCTCCGGGTGGAGGGTGTGCTGTGTGGCTTTCGTGGCCTGGCTGTGAGAGGCCCACAGTGAGCACCAGGCCCCAGGGGACTGTGTCTCCCTTCTGAGTGTGCCCCGGTTGTCCCAGGGGGACATTTCCAGCTCAGGGGCCAGGCCAACTGCACATTCAGAGGCTGCACCTCCTCCGGCAGCTTCCAATGACACCCCCTCCCCCGCCGGGACACCTGCACGTGGCTCAGAGTCTGTAGGGGGCAGAGTCTGGGGTGTGGAATGACTGCCTCCAGGTCATACACTCAAGGATGCGATCAGCGCATGTCTCGTACCCCGTGCCTGGTGCTCAGTAGCCTTTCTGGAGACGGCTCTCAGTAGCTTTGCTTTTTGTTTTTGGGGGTGTCTATGATGTAAAACAACACAGTGTTTGATGAGCCTTTGTGATGGGCCAGACTCTTAGGGCTTGGGGTGCCCCCAGGAAGTCCCTGGCCTGGAGTGTGTGTTCTGGTGAGGGGGACAAGCACTGACCTACACGTTGGGTCAGTAAGGAGGCCTGGAGCGTGCGGGGAGGAGACAAGCGCCCTGGGTCGAGACAGAGGTGGGAGGTGGTGACAGCAGCCTGGACCTGGGGCGTAATCTTCAGTCAGAGCGTCCAGATGCCCTACTGAGAAGGTGACACATGAGCATCAGTGAGGTGAGGCAGTGAGGCGTGGGGAGCTGGTGGCAGAGGGGCCGGCCTGCACCGCGGCGGACTCACGGCCTCCCTCTCCCAGGGTCTCTGGGGGTCAGGGGGACTGCCCCTTGTTTACAGAGGAGAGAAGAGGGCATCGGGCAGCCTCAGCTTGCCCTGCTGGGACCACGGAGCTGGCGTTCATCCCCCTGTCTAGTTTTCAGAAACCCTTCCCGGGAGCTGACTAATGTTTGGAACATCACACGTCTTCGTGGGTGAGAACGCTGTGAATTAGTTCCTTTGACCAGTTTTCATATTGGAATCTGAACTGTTTTTCTCCAAAATAGGCTGAACTTCAAAGTATTTGAGTTTAAAAATGAAAATCTGTTTAGGGCTTCTGCGAGTGGGTCGGGGTTCCCCGAGACTGACGCATCCTATGCCGATTACCGCCTGCGCGCCCCGGCCGGGCAGTGCCCTCAGCCTGGGTGCCTGTTCAAGTTGGCAGGTGCCCCGGATTCCTCTGCCCTCTGCTGTGCCCCACGCCTCTGGGGCCTGGGTAGAGCCTCTGTGACACCTGCCATCTGAGCAGTTGCTGGGGGGCGGGCCTCAGCACCCGTAGAGGTGGGGGCCCATCTCGGCTGAGCGGGCAGGCTCCTGTTCTCTCAGGCCGTGGGGCTGCTGCGAAGAGCACCACAGGCCGATGGTGCATGAGCAGCAGAAAGTTAGGTCTCCTCGTTCTGGAGGCCGGAAGTCAGGTCAGGCGGCCAACACGGTTGGGTCCTGGCTCTCTTCGGGGCGCAGACAGCTGCCTTCTCACAGTATCCCAACATGGGGGAGACTAGAGAGGGGAAACGGGCTGTCTCGTGACTCCTCAGGAGCACCGATCCCATCAGGGGACCCCACCCTCCTGACTTCCTCTAAACCTGAGGCCCTTCTTCCTAACACTGTCCCGTCTGGGGAAGGACTTGCGCATACGGACTTTGGGGCCTCACAGCATTCAGCCCATGGCCAGGTATGCAGTTGGGCTGCATCCTGCCAGGGTGGGGAGCCTTGGGGTGGCCTCCTCCTGTAAAAGCCAGGTGAAGGATGCCCCAAGCGGCTCATGCTGGGGAAGGGGCCGATTACTGTGCTTGCCTTCTGCCTCCACCCGCTTGCGCATCAACCATCTTTGCTTTGCTTTCTGAGCAGGCTTTTTGTGAGCAGTTCATTTCATGATAGCAGCTAGTGTTTATCCATCGCTTACTGTGGGGCAGAGACTGTCTCGGGCTCTCGTCATGAACAGATCCCTCTGACTTTGCAGCCAGTCTAGGAGAGAGCTTACGGGGGAGGTATAGGGAGGTCACGTGGCTCGCCCAGCATGCTGAGCGGTGGGGTAGGGTTCAAGTCCAGGGCGTCTGAGGCCAGGGCCTGCTGCTAGCTGCTGACCTCCCCACAGAGAGCAGGGCCTCTTCGCTGGTGATGCCGCCCCCAGGGGACATGAGGTCCTGTGTTAGGACCTTTCCTGTTAACATCTGGGGCAGGGAGTGTGTGCTCCTGGCATGAAGTGGGCAGAGACCAGGGTGCCTGGCCCCCAGGGGACTCTCTGGCCCGACCGTGCACAGTGCCAAGGGGGAGAGGGCCGCTCTGGAGCCCGAGGTGGCCTCTCAGGGAGCCGACCCCACGGGTGGCTGGCAGTGGTGCGCAGAACTCGTGGGCCTGTGTTCAGTTCCCTTGGTGGGCTGTTAGTCGTGGGGCTGGCTTACTCGGTGTTGGCGCTAAGACGACCACGTCAGCCCTCATTCTTACTGGGCTGGGCCCGGCGCAGATGTGTTGACTGGCAGGCAGTCTAGTGGGGAAACACAAGGATCTGAGTCTTTCACCTCCCTGGGTGGAATGGAGCCTTGGAGTGATGGACAGGACCCAGAAGCACCCAGGGGTAGAAGTCCCAGTTCAGTCTTGTTGGGGAGGGCCAGGACGTGTCAGGGAAGGCTTCAGGGAGGAGGTGATGTCTCTAAGGTTACCGGTAGGGTGAGGCTCCAGGCTTAGGAGGTGGGGCCATCCCAGCTGAGGGGAGGTGCCGGGTGGGCTGGGCTGGCTGACTGCACACCTCATCTACGTGGTTTGCAAGTTCCCCCAAGGCAGGTACCATGCCCCATTACCTTTGTTTCCCTTTGGGGTCCTGTGTCATTATGTGAATGTTGCTGAGCTAAACTGAGATGTCTTCAGGGCCTGGTGACCGCGGGCTCTCCCCTCCTCCATGTTCTGCCCCACTCTTGTCCCTGCACCGGCCCCACGGCCCAGGGCCAGGCCAGGCCTCTGTTGAGGTGAGGGACCTGTGAGTGCCATTTCATGTGACTGTGCTCCTCGGAGCGGAGTTGTGTTTCTGGGGCCTGGACGCTGTGTTTCACGGGGCCCAGTCTGATCAGAGTGCTGCCTGCCCTTCCCACTGCCGGCATTGTGTCGGTGCCTGTCCCTTTATGGTGCGCCACCGTGGGAGCTCACGTCACCCCACGCAGCGTCCACAGGGCCTGCTGGCTGCCCTCGCCTTTGGCCTTCAGCCCTGAATAGATGGCAGCCTGAAAGTTCCGGGATGCTGCAGCAGGGGTCTCCGGCTGGCCTTCCCCGCGCCTCCTGCTTACCTTTCGACTGTCCTGACTTTCTTAATCAGCGTCTGAGGTATCTGTACCTTTGTATCTGAAGTCAGATGCCCTTTGCTTGGTCTAGGGTGCCGCTGGCGTAATGGGGAGCCTGCGCCTTTGGCTGCGAAGGGCTCAGTGGGCGTGGCTGGGGAGGACTGTCCATCGCTGATGGGGACTGAGCTGCAAGTGGGTCCTGGGTGGACACTGGCTGCCCCGGAGGGGGACACGGATGTGTTTTCCACTTACAGTAGCAGGGAGACCTGCTGTTGACCTTCCTGCTTCCTCGGGGGGCAGGGGGCTTCACTGTGCCTTGCAAACCCTGCCCGTCCCATCTTAGAGGGGGACCGGATGTGTGCTCTGCTCAGGACGACGTGGTCCTTACATGTCGGAGTAAGTCACAGGGATGCTCTCTAAGATGGCGGAGAAGTAAAACTCAGCACGTTTGGTTCCGCGTTAGAACGAGGAATCCCTCCTCCCGCCCATCGTCTTTCCTGAGGAATCATGACGCACAGCGGAGTGGCAGATTCCGAGGGCGGGGAGGAGGGGGTCTGAGCATCGCTGCCCCGGGCCTCCCGGAGGGCAGGCCGGTGGGGACACCTCCTGCAAGCGAGGGGTCAGCCCTGCGGAGGGGCTGGGACTTGCCCTCACCTCGACGCCCACCTCTCCAGGCTTTTCTGGAAGCTTAACTGGGCCAGACACTGCTCCTCTGTAGCCTGAGGGTTTCTGTGTGAAGCCTTTCCGGGCCTCGATTTTAGGGTAATGAGTCAGCCCTGCGGGAAGGAGGGGGTCGGTGGGAGTCTGACAGCGGCGGCCAGGAGCCGGCATGTTTTCTTCACTTTGTTTGGTTCCCGCCCCATCTCCTGGAGTTGGTTTTTTCCTCTACTTTAAATTTCAGTTCTGGGAGATGTGACCATTCAAGGGTATTTAGACCTGGGGGTGTACAGCCTGGTGCTGCCTGTTCCTGTGGGCCCCTCGTTGGTCCCTGGTGGCTCTTTCTGAGTGGGTGTTGGGCCTTGGGCTCTTTTCTGTGGCTCTTCCTGTTCTGGGTTCCTGGATTTAACGCACGGTTTCACTTCGGCCCTGCGTGTCCCTGTCGGTGGGCCTTTGTGCGTGGTGGTAGGTGGTGCCCTGGGGCGGGGGGTGCTGGGCAGGCCTGCAGCCTGCTGCCCCTCCCCTGCTTGCATGCGCTCTAGCTTCCTGTGCTTTCTCTTGGTGATGGTCCCTGCCCGCCTCCCTCATGGGGCTTGGGGAGATCCAAGGGGTGCAGTGCCTTTGTGGGCTTCATGCTCCTCCACGTGTGGCTCGGTGGCTTCCTTCTGTGCTCAGGCCCAGGTGAGCCCCACAGGCACCAGCAGATCCTTGGGTTGTGTCACCTGGGCAGGCCTGCTAGCAGTGGGGGAGCCGGGGGGGTCTGGAGTTTTCTGGTTGTCGTTTTGCTTTTGTGTGAGGCACGTCTGTTTTCCCATGGAGTAACGCTCTACCAGTAAGGCCAGTGGGCTTCTTGGGTGTTCACTAGTTTCACTTTATTGCCCCGGTCACGCGGGTCTGCACTGGCCGGTTAGGGGAGGAGGGGATGGCTGTGGCACGGTGGCGTTCCCGAAGGGCAGGTGGCGCGGGTGGGAGCCTTCTTACTGGGGAACAGGGCCATGGGGGGGGGTCCAGGAGGCCATCCTCACCCCCTGCGCGCTCTCTCCCCAGACAGCGCCGGCGACACTGCTCCTCTGCAGTGGTCCCAGTCTCTCCCGCACTCGGTGGCAGCCGCCGTGGGTGGCACGTCTGACCCCAGCGCCCTCAGCAGCTCAGCGTTAAGTGAACGAGAGGCCTCCCGGCTCGACAAGTTCAAGCAGCTCCTTGCCGGCCTGAACACAGACCTCGGTGAGTCCCCCGCTGGCGGAGGGCACGTGCACCTGCGCCCCCACGTGTGGTTTACTTTGTCAGAGGGCGATGTGTTTGTGCCGTCCTGCGCGAGTCACAGAGATGAGCCGTTTGTCCTTGAGGTTTACTTCAGCTGTGTGTTGGTCATGGGCTTCCGGGGCCATTGATCCGGTATTTTCTGTTCTGTTCTATTTTTTAATGCTCCGATTGAACTCCTTTGGCTTCTTGGGGCTGAACTGGTTTGCTCCACAGGACTGGCCAGCTTGGTGTCCCTGCTTTTCAGAGTCTTCGTGGGGACACAGAGCTGGTGACCGGGGTCCTGAGTGCTGCTGACTTTACACCTTCCTTGGTGTAAAGTGTGGGATAGGCTGTGAACACCCCGGGAGCGCAGGCGGGGCTGGGGTGGGCGGGCCAGCAGGGGGCCGTACAGTCAGCAGTGTGGTTCTCGGGGGTCACCATGGCCGCGGGGCCGCTCTGCCACCAGGCTCTGAGGCGGGTGCTCGCCTCCAGGTCCATTTGCTGGGCTTCCCCTCGAAGCTGCGTCCTTTCCTCGGTACGTCTCATCTTTGCGGAGTGCCACGCTGCATTGGGCATCTTGCTGGCTGCGGGGGCTCTCCGGAAGGTGGTATGTGGCCGCGGTCACGAGATCACGCATGGTGGAGGGTGGGTGCCAGGGTGGCACGGAGGGCTGGCGCGCCTCGGCCGCAGTGGCCCGCTCCGCCAGCAGGTGGCGCGTGAGGCACGCGGCTGGGCTGCCCAGCAGGGAGGCGGGCGGAGGCGGAGCGAGCATGGAGCTGAAGGATAGGCCGCGTCCCTGAGGATGCTGCTCCCCTTGTGGGTGCAGAAGGGTTCCTTCCCGCGAGTTTCTGCGTTTTCATTTTCCTGATTGATTTGCTCACGCACACGTAAGACAGTCACGCGGCACCAGAGGATGTGCGGTAAAAATGGGTCGCTCTCCTCTTCCCCAGCCCTGCTTTCCCTCCTTCGCGTGATTCCAGGTGTCTTCTTCCAGGGACAGGAAGGGAGGCCTCTCGTTCTCTTAACGCTGAGCTGCTGAGGGCGCTGGGGTCAGATCTCGCACATGACGATGCACGTGACGTCTTAAACCTTTTATTTAGGTGTAATTTCAAATGTAGAAGAAAGTTGCAAGAACGGGTTAGGGTTAGGGTAGGTTTCCCTGTGACCCATGCAGCCCCACAGTCCGCATGTTGGAGCCAGGAACACTCCCCCTGTGCTGAGCTCCCGGGCAAACCCTGCAGGTCCCCTCCCCTGGCTGACCCCCTGAAGGTTCTGTCCCCACCTGCCATGAGTTGGAAGTCCCCACAACCTCCTCTTCAGGTTTGGATAATCTGCTCCAGTGGCTCATGGAACTCAGAGAAACATGTGTGATTCTTGGGCAGCCATGAATCTCAGCTTCTTCATGATGGGGGGCAGCCCAGCAGCTGAGTGTCCATGCAGGGCTGCCTCTGCTTTTATTTCATTTTTTTATCAGAAAATCAAGGGCAGTTGCCTCAAAGCGTGGGAGAGGAGGACAAAGGGATGGCAAGTATCCTGAAGCGGTAAAGCAGTCCTGCACCCTCCCCTAGGGGCAGGCACTCAGGGAGGCAGTCATGGGATAAGGGAAAAGTGGGATGTTTGTGCTAGCAAGCACCAGGTGCAGAAAGGGGACCTGAGGGTTACATTCTTTCCTAGCTCCTAACCTGTGCCCTGCCCCTGGGGATCATGGGATCCTGCTCCTACTGGGCCCTTGCGTTCAATAGTCTGACAACAGGAACGCTGTTGACCTTTCAGCTGCTTCCACAATCACTCCTGTGGGCTTACAATATATTTTCTAAGAATAATTCCACACTTCCTCCGTGAGGTGGACTACCTGGTATGCACAGAGGTGGATATGAAGTTCTGCGACCACGTGAGTATGGAGATCCTGTCCCCCCTCTTCGGCACCCTGCACCCCGGTTTCTACCAGGCAGCCCACAAGGACTTCAGCTACGAGCATTGGCCACAGTCGCAGGCACACATCCCCAGGGACAAGGGCGACTTTTACTACATGAGGACCTTTTTTGCGGGGTCGGTGGTAGAGGACCAACTGACCTTGGCCTGTCACCAGGCAATGGGGGTCAACCTGGCCACTGGGATTGAGGCTGTGTGGCACAATGAGAGCCACCTGAACAGGTACTTGCTGGACCATAAGCCCATTAAGGTGCCGTCCCCAGAGGACCCGTGGGACCCTCAGCTGCTGGGCTGTCCCCGAGAGGACCTGTGGGACCCACAGCTGCTGGGCTGCCCCTGGAGGACCTGTGGGATCCACAGCTGCTGGGCTGCGCCCCATCATGAAGAAGCTGAGATTCATGGCTGTGCCCAAGAATCACCAGGACATCAGCAGTGGTTATTACTTGAGGAGTCATTTTGGTGCCCACCGGGTCTTTCACTTGAGTTAACAGATGAGCCCGAAGGAAGGACGTCATCAGTTAGGAAGTACAGACGAAGGTCAGAGTGGAGGTGGGCAAAGGCCTCTTTAACTCAGAGAGCGGGGGAGCCCCGAGCTTCTTCTACACACCTTGCCCTGCTCATCGATTCCAGCTGCCTGGCTCTGAGTTCTGTCCTTTTAATGAACTGGTCATCTAGTAAGTAACATGTTTCTCTGAGTTCCATGAGCCACTGGAGCAGATTATTCAAACCTGAAGAGGAGGTTGTGGGGACTTCCAGTCTGTAGCCCATAGCTCGGAAACAGGGGTGACCTCTCTGCCCAGCCACTGGCTGACCACTGAGTTAACAGCACAGGGATTCAGTGGCCACACACAGCAAAGAATACAGACTTGACAAAGTGAGTTCAGAAAAGTCACTAAGCCAACAGTAGCAACTACAACGAGCAGCAATCATGAAGCCTGGAGTGGGGAAGGTCTGATGTTCAGGATGCTTCCATTATAATATTCATAATCACACCCTGGACTTGTCACTGGGGCCAAGTCCCCCGGCTGGGGTTCAGGTAGCTCCTACATGTTCCACGTGCCTCTCTCTGGCTCCCCCAGCCGTGCACAGTCCTATGCTGCTTCCCAGCAGAGGTCAGTTTTAACCAAAGCCAGGAAGATGGGATGGGTTTTCCTGACCCCCCACCCCCTGCCCCACAGGGCTGCAAGAGAGGACAAAGTTTTCCTCAACCCTGTTAAGGTCCCCGGCTGAGTCTGGAAATTGACAAAGACAGATGAACAGGAGAAAAGCAAGCAAAATGTATTGATTGCTTTGGTGGGAGCCTCACAAGACCATGAAGACCAGCAGAGGTGACTGGAGCAGACAGCTCTTCTACCTTTTAGACAAAGAAGCAGTAAGTGTGTGAAGAATCGACAGACGCAGGGGTTTGGAGTAGGGCTCGTAAACGGTAAAGAAGTAACTAGGAAGATAAGGGCTAGTTTAACCAGGTGTGTTTGTATAGACCCCGTGGTCCTAAATTCCTTGACTCTGGTGATAAGCACGTCATCTCTGTGGTCCGGGGCGAGAAAGTTCCACATGGCAGTCTTCTGACCTGCTTAAGGGAAAAAGGGCTGATGGCTGGGGGTCAGAGAGACCTTCTTGCTTTGCTCTATGCAAAAGTTCTTTTAGCTTCTGTATTTATTTTGCCAAGGTGCCGTATTCGGGGTAGTGTGTCCTGACCCTCACTGGCCTGGTGCTGTACTCTGTCTCCTAGTATCCAGGACATTGGATGTGCTGCTGTGGAGACCTTCCAGCCCTGGGGTAGCCCCTTGTCCAGGGAGGCACCTGCCTCAAGGGGAGGGTCGCTAAGGGTGGCTGCCCCTCCTCAGGGAGATTGGGTGGGAGAATGCAGATCTTACTTCGAGAAACTGACTTTATTTCCTGAAAAGGTCTACCTGATAGTGGGATCATACGGGAGTTCTATTTTTAGTATTTTGGGGAAGCTTCATCTTTTTCCCAGCATGGGTGTGCCAACCAAAGTCAATTCCAGATGATTTTTACCTATAAACCAGAGATTTTGCAAGAACCTCTCCAGCAGAGAACATGAGGAGAACAGTTTCAAGACCTTAGACAGGCAGAGATTTCCCAGGATGCAAAGTATACTAACCATAGGAACAAACCGGTGACTTAGAAACTATGAAATGAAGAACTGGTTCTCCTTCTTCCATTTCTGGCTAGTGTGCTGGTCTGTGGCTCGATCTCACCTCAGGCAGCTGAAAGGTTGACCTCCCAGGTCAGCTACCACTGAGATGGCTACTGTTTCTAGAAATTCTTTGGGGTGTGGCCGGTTTTCCCCACCTGCGCACTGATCAAGTCGGCGACCTCGGACAGTGGAGCCACGGGTCCTCCGGGCATGGTTCCCCACCAATGCCCCAGTAAAGCCATTCCACTGAGGGTTTAGGGGGACCGGAGCTGCCCCGAGGCAAAACCACCAGAGATTCTCACTGTCCCTACCTGGCCTTCAGATGCTCCTCAGTTACTCCTGTGCCTCTGGTGTTTTCCTGGAATCCTGACCTGGCTGTTTTTGGACAGTTTGTCCAGCGGTACCCTCACTTTCTGGGAGGGGGATTTGCTGGAATCCGCAGTGTGTCCTGCAGCCCCACCGGGATCACTTTTTGAAGGCACGTCGCCTGGGCCATCTGAGGACTCAAGACTGTGGGTCTTTGGCTTGGAGGGATTCTGAGCAGCTGGTGGGATTCTGAGCGCTGGTGGGATGGGAGGGCTGCAAGGCCCAGAGGCAGGTCTCCAGAAAGCTGTCTGGGGTCCCCGGCATCCTGCCGTTTTTGAATCAAAGCCCTGAGATCTTTAAAATGCCAGCATCGTTACAGCATGGGCCAGAAAAACAAATGTCCCTGTGCACCCAACACCACCTAAACTATTGGCCATTTCTTGTCACTTGAGTTGAGTAGAAAGGATTGGGAGTCAGGGCTTGAGGGCGGTCCTGGATCAGACTTTGTGTTTGGGGGACAAAGGTCATCCGGACAAGCTTGTGCTGAGGCTGAGGAGGGGGTCTGTGTGGAGACCCCAGCTGCAGGCCCTGCTGTCCACTGATGCCCCCTCAGCCTGCCCAAATGCACCTGTTGCTGGGGGAGAGCCTGCCCCCTCTTCTGTGCCTGAGGCCTCTGTCCTGCTCCAGGTGCGTCTCCTCTCCTGCCAGCCACTGCCAGCCTGCAGTCTGGGAGGGTGGCTACCCCGAGTTCCTCCAGCTGCTGGGGGAGAGCCTGCCCCCTCCTCTGTGCCTGAGGGCTCTCTCCTGCACGAGGTGTGCCTCCTCCCCTGCCAGTCACTGCCAGCCTGCAGCATGGGAGGGTGGATACCCTGAAAACCTCCAGCCCTGTGGACAGAGTCAGTGCAATGTGGTCTCCCAGGAGGTCTGAGCACCAGGCCCCC